GCTGTAGCTTTGGCTGGCCTAGAGCTCCCTACGTAGACAGGCTGGCCTTGAACTCACAGAGATTCACCTGCCTCTGCCTCACAAGTGCTGGGATTAAAGGCGTGCACTACCATACCCAGCTTCAAGGGTACTTTTTTGGTTTTTTTTTGGTTTTTTAGAAGCAGGGTCTCCCTGTAGCCCCAGCTCTCCTGGAACTCACTATGTAGACCAGGCTTGCCTTGAACTCACAGAGATCTGCCTGCCTCTGCCTCCCGAGTGCTGGAACTACAGGTGTGCACCACCACGCCCAGTTTCACGGGTACTTTTTATTGTCTGTGCTTCTATAGTAAGGGGAAGATGCTGGGCATGGAAGTTCAGAGTTGGGCCATTAAAAATCATGAGTAGGCCTGGGAATTTAGGTCAGTGATAGAGTACTTTCCTAATATGTACAAAGTCCTGGGTTTGTAGTGCTATTCAATCCCTAGCACCACATAAAAGTAGACAGGGTGGCACAGGCATGTAATCCCTTGAGATGTAATTCCTCCAGCACTTGAGAGATGGAGGCAGGAAGATTAAAAGTTTGATGTCATTCCTGGCTATGCAGTGAGTCTGAGGCCAGCCTGGACTACATGAGATCCTATCTCCTTGTATCCCCTTAAAGCCAGGAGAAGGATAAGAGGGTGGATACTCACTTTTTCTTATAAGAACTTGCTTTCAAGTTTCTCGAGAGACACCCACATACATAGAGGCAAAAGTGAGATGGGACTCTTATACAGGTATAATGCTATGACGGTAGGGAGGTCACTCCTCGAAGGCTCAAGGTATGGGGCTAGAGAAATGATTCAGTGGTTAAAAGCTCTTACTGCTCTTGTAGAGGGCCTGGGCTCTGTTCCCAGCACCCATATGGGGGCTAACAACCATCTCTAACTCCAGTTCCTCTTCTGACCTCCAAGGACATTACACGACATGGGTGCACTTGCATACATGTAGGCAATACACTCATACACATAAAATAAAAATAATAAATAAGCTGGGCATGGCAGTGCATGCCTTTAATCCCAGCACTTGGGAGACAGAGGCAGGCAGATCTCTGTGAGTTCCAGCTGGGGCTACAGGGAGACCCTGCCTCAAAAAGACAAAAAATAGGGGTTGGAGAGATGCCCCAGTGGTTAAGAACACTGGTTGTTCTTGCAGAAGACCCTGGTTTGAATCCCAGCACCCATATGGCAGCTAACAACTGTCCATAATTCCAGTCCCAGGGGATCCACCAGCCTTTTCTGTTTTCCGCGGGCATTGCACGACATGAGTGCACTTACCTACATGCAGGCAATACACGCATACACATAAAACAAAAATAATTTAAAAAAATAATAAGACAAAAAATAAAATATTTTTTTAAATGCAGGTAAAGGGGCTGAAAAGATGATTTGGTGGTTAAGAGCACTGGCTGCTCTTGTAGAGGAACTGGGTTCGATACTCAGCCACCTACATGGCAGCTAACAACCATCCTAACTCAAGGTCTGGGGGATTCAGCACCCTCTTCTAACCTCTGAGGGCATTGCAAAACACAGGTGCACTTACATACATGCAAGCAATCACTCATACTTGTAAAAAAAATTTAAAAATAATTAAATATTTTTAAAATGCAAGCAAAACACTCATACACATAAAATTAAAAAAAAAAAATTCTTGGCTGGGTGTGGTGGCACACGCCTTTAATCCCAGCACTTGGGAGGCAGAGGCAGGCGGTTCTCTGTGAGTTCAAGGCCAGTCTGATCTCCATAGTGAATCCAGGACAGCTGGGGCTACAGGGAGACCCTGTCTCAAAAAGACCAAAAAAAACCAAAACAACAACAAAAACAAAAAATAATTCTTTTAAAAAGGTTTTTAGAGGGGCTGGAGAGATGGCTCAGCGGTTAAGAACTTGACTGTTCTTACAGAGGGCCCAGGTTTGATTCCCATCACCTACATGGCAGCTAACAACTGTCCGTAACTCCAGTCCCAGGGGATTGGATAGCCTCTTCTGTCCTCCTCGGGCATTGCACGACACGGGTGCACTTACCTACATGCAAGCACTACACTCATACACATAAAATAATAAATATTTTTTTTAAAAAAAGGTTTTTAGCCAGGCGTGGTGGTGCACACCTTTAATCCCAGCACTCGGGAGGCAGAGGCAGGCGGAGCTCAGTGAGTTCAAGGCCAGCCTGGTCCACATAGTGAGTGAGTTCCAGGACAGCTGGGGCCACAGGGAGAGCCTGTCTCAAAAAGACAAAAAAAAAAAACAAAACAAAAAAACGGTTTTTAGAATGCCAAGAATAGTGGCACATGCCTTTAATCCCACTTGGGAAGCAGAGGCAGGCAGATCTGTATGAGTTGGAGGTCAGCCTAGTCTACATAGTAAGTTCCAGGCCATCCAAGGCTACATGGTGAGATTCTGTCTCAAAAACCATAAAAAATCAAAATCAAAATCAAT